TGGGGACAGCGTGGGGGTCACAAAGGGTTCCCAGAGCTGGGGACAATGTGGGGGTCTCAAAGTGTCCCCAAGGCTGGGGACAATGTGGGGGACACAAAATGTCCCCAAAGCTGGGGACAGCGTGGGGGTCTCAAAGTGTCCCCAAAGTTGGGGACAGCATGGGGGTCACAAAGGGTTCCAAAAGGGGACAGCATGAGGGTCTCAAAGTGTTCCCAAATCTGGGGACACCGCAGGGCTCACACCCATCCCCGAGGCCGGGGACGCCGCGGGGCCCCCGCCACCCCCCGCCCGCCGCCCGGGGCTCTTACGGCGGCCGCCTTGTCCTCGGTGCGGCCGGGCGCGGGGCTGCCGGGGCCGAACGGGGGCTCGGAGCGGGCGCGGGGGCCGCCCTCGGGGCGCACGGAGAGCAGCGGCGGGGCGGCTTTGCCGTCGGGCCCGGCGGCCACCGCGACCCTGCGCAGCGAGGAGCTCCTGCGGAGCGCCAGCGCGCCCAGCGGGTGCCCGCAGTCCCGGAGCACCAGGCGGCTCAGCGCCACCGCCACGTCCTCGGCGCGCCCGGGCACCCCGGGGACACCACCGGGCACGCCGCCGCCGCCGCCGCCTCCCTGGCTCAGGTCGCCGATGCTGATGGATTTGGAGCGGGCCAGGTTGCTCCGGCGCCGCTCGGCCGCGCTGGGCAGCGAGAAGGAAGCGCTGCCGGGCACCTGCGGGGCACCGCCGGGCACCCTGACGCCGTGATCGGCTTTGAGCGGCCCCCGGCGAGCCCCCGGCCCGCGGGGAGCGGGGTCGCCCCGTTTGGCCGCCCGGCCCCGCTCCAGCTCCAGCTTCTTGGGGCGGGGGTCGTCGGGCGGGGGCCGCGGGGGCAGCAGGCGCAGCTTGGGGGCCGGGGAGAGCCCGCTGGGCGCCGCATGGCGCTCCTGGCTCAGCGCTCGGTGCCCGCTGGGCAGGCGGGAGCCCGCCCGGGGCTGCGCGCTCAGCACGGCGCCGCCGGGGTCCCTGGGGCGAGCCAGGCGGTGCTCCGAGGCCTGGGGCATGGCGGGGCCTGCGGGGACAGCGGCAGCTCGGTGACAAGGCGGCAGCTCGGGGACAACGGGGGTGGCACCGCCGCGGGGACGGCGGCGCCAGCCCACGCGGGACGGGCACCCACCTGCTCACAGCCCCCCGCGCCCGGCGGCCGGACACGGCGTCCCGTCGGCGGGGGCCCTGCGGGGACACGGTGGCACCGGGGGGGGTCCCCGAAACCTCGGCGGGATGCCCGAACGCTCCGCGGGACCCCCGGCTCCGTGGCGGCCTCGCGGGGAGTCCCGGCGGGGCGGGGAGCACCGGGAGTGTGTGCCCCCCACCCACCCCACCCACCCACCCAAGCGGGGTCCTGCTTCCCGGGGACGGGGTGGGTGGTCCCGGAGGGGCGGAGGACAAAGCCCCGGTACCCCCGGGGTTGGGGCGGGGGTCGCCCCGAGGCTTGGCTGGAAAAGCCCCCGGACCCCCCCCCAAAAGGGGTTCCGCAGCCCACCCCGGTGCCCCCCATCACCCCGGGCCCCGCCCCCCTCTCCCAGCCCGGCCCCGCGGCCGCCCTTGGGGGGGTGTCCGCTGTCCCCGAGCCCCCCCAGCCCCGAGTGCCGCCCCCCGGGCCCCCCCTCGCCCCTCGGCGGGGTCGCCCCGCGGTCCCCCCGCACCTCCCGCGGGCCGCCATGGCAACGACTCCCGCCGCACCCGCCGCCATCTTTGCTCCTCCCGCCGCCGGCCCCGCCCCCGCCGGCTTCACCGCCGGCTCTGCGCATGCGCCGCTCCCGCTAGGCCACGCCCCCTCGCGTCGCCATGGAAACCGCGCGGCGTCTTAAAGGGGCCGCGACCCGCGCGGGTTTTGGGGGGGCGGGGGGGTTAAACCGGGGGGTTTTGGGGACAAATCCCCCCCCCCAAAATAACAAAGCGCCACCAAAAAGAGGTTCAGCGTTTATTGGCGAGCGGCAGCCAAGCGGTGGGGAGGGGCGGCAGCAGCTGGGAGGGGAAGGGTGGGACCCCCCCAAGGTGGGGGGACCCCCAAGGGGAGGGGGAGGGGACCCCCAAAGTCCCCTCCCCACCCCCCGTTGGTCACTTGTCCTTGTGTTGGATGAGACCTTTGGAGATCAGGTCCGGGATCTCCACGGCCAGCCAGGGACCAAGCTGGGGGGATACCCCCGGGACGTGTCACCCCCAAAATGTGTCACCCCCACCTCGGTGTCACCCCCAGAATGTGTCACACCCCCCTTGTTGTCACCCCCCCTTCGGTGTCACACCCCAAAATGTGTCACACCCCAAAATGTGTCACCCCC